GTCGTGTAGAAATTGTCTTATGCTATTTGTGAGAGACATGGTTGTATCACAATGAATGTGAATGATACACTTAGTTTATATGCATTAATGGCCAAGTTATTTTGATGTTAGTGTTTTGAAGTGATGAAGCGAAGTACCGAAATTAAATTTCAGTACAATATGTATTTTGCGTAAACTTACTTTGTTTGAACTTATTTTGTGCTTCCTTAGAGTTTTATGAGTTTCATTTTTTTATATGTGATCTTAGTATTTTTTATTATGTTATTAGTTATTACTTGTTATTATAATTAAATTAATAAATCTTGGCTCCTTTTTAAAATTAATTTATTATTATTTCATGACAAAAAAGATAGCGACTTTTGAACTCTCAAAAGTGAATCTCATTTATTACATTTGTGAAAATAGGGCCATGAATGATTCGTTTTTCAGCTGAGCTGAGGTCAGCTTGAAAGGTTTGAATATGGTTTGAATTGGCTTGTTTCTCATTGCATTCGATTTTGAGTCAGCTCGTCTCAAAATTAAATCAAGCTCTATTCGTGTTAAAATCAGAACAAGTGGGCTTGAATGGAGCTAGATCTATTCTAGCTCAAAAATTAAAACGAGGTAGCTCGTTTTGATTGTGCCAGCTCAAAATTAATGAATACAAATAAATTATAAAAAAGCTAAAAAAATCCTATCACTTATGTATACATATATTATGTAAATATAGCAAAGAACTTTGAGCTGATCTCGAGCTAGTCGAGCCTATCCGTTTATGGCTTGAAATTGGCTAATAAAAAGTTTGATCCATGCTTTTCATGTATAGGGCTTCTCTCTTGCTTTAATCTGATCTCAGTCCAGGTCAAAATTTGAATCTTTTTTGGAGCAATCGATGATTTTTTAGCTTAATTCTCAGCCCTATATGAAAGTGAGTTCCACCTTTTTTTTTCATTTGAAACTCAATTCCCCGAAATTAGTTCCAATCACTTGAATACACATAAGTTAAAATAACCTTATACTTGTTTTGATATGGAATATCATCTTTTTTTCTTATAAAAAGTTAGATCCTAGAATGATATAATGGCTACATTATCTATTAAGTTCTAATCGGAAATTCTCCATTATCTATTTAACCTAATTATTCAGTGTTAAATGACTACTCTTAATCGAAAGTGCTCTCTTGTTATCAAGAGGGATAATTAAATATAGGAGCTTTTGCCTATAAGAAACCTTGAAACCCATGTCAAAAAGTTCTCACAAAATGAGGGTGAAATATTTGTGTAGTTTCTTATCTACTATTCCATCCGTCTTGTGAAAATTTGGTTGCGGCGTCAAAATTTTTGGAGTCCACACATGCTATTGGTATTATCCAGCTATTATGTGTAGTATGATAAACTGGACAAAAGTGAAATATTTTTCTTGGGACTAGAAAACGTGAGGTTTTATGGCACTTCACAAATTTAGGTGGCTTTTCTTATGATGACTTTTACTTAAGCCTATGCTTGGCTTCTTTTAATTAGGCGCACTTGGAAAAAAAAATTATTATAATTTGACAAGATGGTTATTCCTAATCACGGAAGATTTTATGCTTATTAAATTAGTTTTGCATCCCAGTATTTTATGCTGTTTTCTGTGGCAACAAGTATGAATGGTTTTCATGGCCAATCATCTTGATCCATAGATCATGAGCATTCCTTTTCCTCATCGTGAATGTCTCATTATTTTTTCTATAACATTATCTAATTATTGCTTCTTTTAATGAGCGAGAAATTTTATCAGTCCATATTTTTTTCATTATTGTATGGAACATTGGAATTTGAATCATTATTCTACATAGTAAGCTTTGTTTCTTTAAACTGTGCAGGGAAAATATTTTCAGCGACACATTTATATCTTATTAAGCTAACTTGAATCAACGTGATAAGTATTGTCAGCATTTTTTTTGAATACACTTAGAGCCTTTTATTTATGGATATATTATATTTAGTTGGCTAGGAGAAGGATGCATGACAATATATTGGTATTTGTTGAGTTCATTCCTGTATTTTACTACAGAGCTCGAAATCTCATAGCGTAGATCTTTTTAAAGAATTGTTGGATGGTCTAATAAACATGAATTTTGTTTTTCTGAAGTCTTAGATGCACACTTTAGTGTAATTTTTCTCTTCAATTATGTAGGAGATTTCAACAACCTTACCAGGTTATGGTAATAGAAGTGAGTTCTTAAAATCAACTTCAGTGCTGGTTGGCTTTCCTCCTGTTGAAGAGAAATTGCTTCCCAAGAACCTATTCTCAAGATATAACCAGCCTCACAGATCAATTCCAATGGTGGAAAAACCTGTCCTTATAGACATGCAAGGTTCTATGCTTTATCAATGTCAGTTTGTTGTTGGGCCTATTTTAGCTTCATGCCTTGTTCTGCTTGATACATATTTTAGAATTTAAATTTTTAGGTAGCTTTTTTCTGCAATTATGTTATTATTAACGGCGTTCTGCTTAATTTAGGTATGATGCATTTTTTATAGGAAGATTTACATATATACCTCTCAATTCTTATGTTTATGTATTTACATATCTAAATTTACATATCTAACACCTAAACTTCAAGTTTTATATACATGCCACCTTCCCTATCCAAGAAAAGGTGTATTTAAATTTTTACAAGTTAAAATGATGCTATTTTTTATGTGATATGAAAGATTTGGGTGTTATAAATGTAAAAATTAAAGTTTAGGTGTTAGATATGTATATACATAGGACATGGCTGGTATGTATGTAAATGCCCCTTTTTTTAATATTGTAGACTTGAGGTGACATTGACAGAAGTTGTTCTTATTGGTTTGCTTAGGTTTTGACAGTTTCAATGCTCTACAAGAATGAATGAAAAATTGATTTTTTAGAGTCAACCCCAAATACTTGGCATATGCCTAATCATGATGATGATGACATGCTTATATATATTGCTTGTGCATCTACTATTTCCCTTTAAAACGGTAGCTTCTACTGATACTAAAAAACAATTCATTTTGTATAAAAGGAAAATCTTTCGCTGCAGTATGCTTCCTTATCCATCTTTGTGCAATAGGCATAGCAGATTCAGTACACCTTCAGAAACACTTGAAAACAAACCAAGAAAATACAATGTTAAATGATCAGAAATTAGTAGGCTCAGAATTTTTTCATATTTAGTTAAAACATGTCAAGTGTTCTAACCTCAAAAAGAGGGAAATTGCCAGAGGGTGTTAAGCATAGGGATTAAGTATAATCTTGACTAGTAGCTAAGGCTGTGAGTTTAGCTCGAAAATCATCAATCACTCGAAAATTGATTTAAATTTTGGCTTAGATTGAGATTAGATCAAAATGAATGAGCTGTGCTATGAGCGGAACTTTGGATCGATTTTTTTAGCTGATTTCAAGTCATACACGGATTGGCTCGAATTGACTTGAGATCGGCTTGAAGTATTTTTTTTTATAAAAATTATTTATATAATGCTAAATAAAATAGAATATAATGAGCCACGAGCTGATTTGGAGTTTGAACGGATCCAAATAACTCAGTTTGAGCTGGCTAGTTTTGATTTTGAGCCAGATCGAGTTGATTTTGAGTCGATTTCGAGTTGGAACAGATCCAAATCTCAATTCGAGCTGGAGCTTGATTCAATTTCGAGCCGATGTGGCTCAAAATCAAATATAACGAGTCACAAGCCGATTTTGAGCCGCATTTCAATCCATTCTTGCAGATTATGAACTGACCCCATCTCGGCTCGAAACCAGTCGTTACCTGCTTGGTTGAGAATGGTTGTACTTGTTGAGAAAGATAATTACTTGCTCTAGGTTAGTTTATTTGATTTCATAATTTCAATCATGATTAAGTTAGGGTTAATACTAAAAAATATTTCGAGACGATTATGTTAAAAAAACTTGTGGAATTCTGGGTTTTCTATTTTAGTTTTAGGGTCCGTTTGGGGCGGAAGTGTGGTGGCGGTGCGACACTACACTACAGTTTTGTCTGTTTTAGTAAATTGCGTTTTGACAGCCTTTCCAAATGGTTGCCGCTGAAATCTATGTTTTTCCATCACTCATGGCTAGGTGGGTGGCAGTTTTCTAGCTGCGATCTGATTTAAAAAAAAAAAAATTGTAATAACCACCATAGTTTTTTAAGCATCAAATTATTAATTTACAGCTTCACAATTGTTTTTTAATAAGTTGCAGCTGCCCCAAACAGACCCTTTTTCCCTCATTCTTTCTTTTTTAGTTATGTTTTATTTGGTAAATTGTAATTATTGTAATTAATCTTGTCATAACCGTTATACAAGGAGAAAAGTTATTTGATTATTGAAAAATAAGAGAATATGATTTTCTTCACCTTTCTTCATGGTATCAAAGTTTGATCAAACCCTAGCTCTTCTTCCTCTGCCAAAGCCTCTCCCTGTAGCTACTAGTCCCTTTAGGTCCTCCGCAGGATCTTTTCTCTGCAGGCAATCCTTTCTTGTGCTTCCCAACAATCGCTATTCCTTCTCTACGAACGTTATCTCTAACCTCCAGTTGGATATTTTTCTCTTGTGAAAATTTTAGTCGGGCCTCGCACTTACTGTGGAAATCCCAAAACTGCAAAAAGAGGTGGATTTTCTCTCCAATGTGGATCCCAAGATTGCGAAGAGAAGCTGTCTCCTTGTACACGTTCGTATTTCTACTGTATTCTGCTTCCCTACAGTTTCTCTCTCAAGCGTAGTAATCAGCTAGCCTTCTAGATGTTTCTCCCTGTTCCTACCTTCCCCGACAATCGATATATCATCCACACTCTACTGTCTTCTTGCTGTCTCAGTTGATCCTTCGTCAGCAAGCAGAACAACCACAAACGTTCCTTTTATCCTGCAACACAATTAACAAGGAATTCTTTCCAACCTTAAATGTGCATAAGGCTTATGACAAAATAAAGCATGAATATGTATATCTCTGCTTGGAGTTTAGTTCGGAATCAGATACCAATGGTCCCAATTCATGTTTCCATACATTTATGATAAAGGAAGAGGAATATCTCATAGGAGAGGACATAGTTCTTAGGTTCATTGATCCAACTATCGCTTATAGAAGATCCATGATCATATTTTCATGTTGTGGTTGATCAATTCTATGACCATAGTGCTTGGAGAAAATTTCTTGCTTTATAAGCAGCATAGGAGATTGGAAAGCAGCTCGTGAGACTCATTCTAGTATTGAAAAAACTGCAGAATTGTTTGAGATTAAAATAAAATTGTATGAAATTCGACAAGAAGAGTTAAGTCTGACTCAACACACCTACAAAGTACTTGCTACAGTTAAATATGTATAATACTTGTATATGAAATAATTGAAAATTTTGTACCGTTTTAGATTTTTCCTTCATGAGGAATATATAACTAGTTCTAGTATGATTATCAATAAAGGAGACCATCTAACTCGATTGATGATTTTGAATTTTGATGGTTCTCAAATATCATTGTGAATGATATAGAAAAACTGTGAGTGTTTGTACTGAGATAAATGGTAGACATGACGAGTATGTTTAGCCAATTGACAGATTTTACGCTGATAAAATATTGGTTTTTTATTTATATAGAAACAAGGCTATAACTATGCAACTTAATGAAAATTGGGATGATCCGAACAATAATGCCATAAGAAAGTTTGACTTTCAATAGACTCAGACACTACAAACTTAAGGATATGATAGATAGGATGGCTAGAGGGAAGTAGAAAATGTTGCGATGACTCTAGATCAGTGTGGGTATCCAGAGTAGTGTAAGAAGGTGAAATATGTTGTGATGACTCTAGAATAGTGTCTCAAGTCCGTTATTCACCCTGACTCCCCCCTGTCTATTAGATTTGGGGTAACAAAGTTGGTTTTCAAGATGGTAACATTCATGGAGTTAAAGTATTTTATTTTAATGGGTGAATACCACTTGTATTCCTTTTTTGTTATTAGTATATCTAAGGAAGATATATTTGATGAGTTTCGGGTCAAGCTTTGTGCAGTTTGGTTGTTGAAATTGAACAAAAGAGACATATCTAAATATTTTAAGAAATAGATTGGATGAGAAAGATCTAAAATGATGGTATTTTGTCATCAAAATATTGAGAAGGCCTTTGAATTTAAGGACTCTACATGGCATTATATTAGTGAGATAGGTGGTTATGAGCACATCTCCCTAGAAATTTTTTGGCACATTGTGAGAAAGTATTATAGACCTAGATACCTCGAAGAGGTGTTTATTCTTTATCTCAGCTATCCCATTTTGTTTCATCTAAGCTATCCCATTTTGTTATGGAGTTTTAACTTAGGAACTCACATGGATAATACTATTTTTTGTAAGGTAGGGTCCAATGATAGAGCTAAAACATTCCTTTGTATTATTAATTTTAAAATTTTGAATTTTTGCATTGGAAATGAGTTAAAATCATGTTAAAAAAGGACTATAAAATTTGTACAGTTTTAGATTTTTGCTTCATGAGGAATATCCAACTAGTTATGGTGTGGATTCATCTAACTCTGAAAGCTTCTCCTTATACGCACACACAACCTCTCCCATGAGTCAAAGACAAAGAAGAAACTTACCTTGTGAACATTGCAAGAAACATGGTGATATGAAGGACAAGTGTTGGAAAGTATGTGGAAAGCCTACAGATGGGAAATTGGGCAAGGGAGGAAAGACTAAGACTGCAAGGCTGATACTGCTAGCTCTTTTAAAGGGTAGGCTCAACTTAGCCCCTTCACCAAGGAATAACTAGAGAAGTTGAAAAAAAACTTCTTTCAAACATAACTGAGCGGCCTACCAAGTTGATATACAATAAGGTATCATGTCTTTCTATTTCGCTAAAAGTGGAGCCTATCAGCTTGATGATACACCAAGGTATCATCCCTCATTTCTTGCTAATAATGAAAGATTTTGACCTTGGATAATAGATTTATGTGCTTCTGATCACATGGGTCTAGATATCATACTCTCACCAACAAATACGAGTTTACAAACCCAAATTTGTTAGACTTGTTGATAGATCTCACTCCAGAATTGTTGGGAAAAAGTGAAAGTCTCCAAAGATATTCATCTTTCTTCTGTGCTACATGTTCCCCAACTAGATTTCAACTTATTTATAATTAGCAAGTTTTCTCATGACTTGAACTGTGTTGCTAAATTTGTATATCTTGTGAATTTTAGGTAGTGGATTCGAGAAAGGTTATTGGCAGCGTTTAATTGTATCAAGGTCTATACCTACTCAGGGAAAGTTATTCTTTTAACACGCAATTAGCTTCTTCACCATCATTTTTCCATGTTTCTTAGTCTGTTGTGTCTGAGTTTGTTGAAAATCAAGTTTTGTTGTGGCATTGCCGTCTGGGTC